TGATATGAATATGTGTGTGAATATGCTATGTGTGGAGTATTCTAGCTTATGTATCTAATTATGGCTAGTTAAGACTCCGTTATTTTAGTGGATGTAATGGTGACTTACTAAGCAAATTTTGCTTACGAGACTTCTGTTCTCTTGTGTCTCATGTATAGGTAATGAATGAAGAATGGAAGCCTGAGAGAATGTTCGAGCCAGGTGGCGAGGCTGTGGATGGGTTAACGGAAACGACCTGGCTGTGTCTCATGTTTTGTTGTTTTACTATGACACTTTTATGAGTTGTTTTATGTTTTGTTTTAAAAATCCTGATAAGGTGTGATGACTTTGTGTTAAGCGTGATTGTTGTTGGTCTTTGATATTTCAGTTATGGAGTTTTCTTATGTATATAAGAAATAAAGTTTCATACGAGACTTTGTATTCTGTAATATTCCGCTTTGTATATTGAGTCTTGTTTATGTTAAGTTTGGTAATGGCCGTTTGGGGACGGTCGTTACAATAGGTGATGGTTTGTTGGGGGAAGAAAATGATGACTTTGGGTCCGTTGATATTCCTGATGATTTATTGATTCACACTGATGGCGATCCTGTTGCTGCTATTGTGAAAAGCATTTTTCCGGAGTATGTTGCATCTGCAAATGACCTCAATTGTCTACGTGACCGCGCAATATTAGCCCGTACCCTGTCCATTGTAGAATCCGTTAATGATTATATGATGGGTCTCAACGTCGGCGAGATTTCAAGGACATACCTTAGCTCTGACAGCGTGTCAAAGGTAGATTCTACAAGTGATCTAATGGCAAAACTGCACACCCCTGAATTCCTAAATAGCATTAAGATGTCTGGTGTGCCGAATCACAAGTTGACATTAAAGGTTGGCACCCCAGTCATACTTCTAAGAAATATTGATCATTCCATGGGTTTGTGTAATGGTACTCGGCTAATTCTCACCAAACTTTGCGATCATGTTTTGGATGGTAAACTTTTAACTGGTGTCAGTGCTGGACAGAGAGTGTTGATTCCACGGTTGTCCTTGACTCCCTCTGATGCAAACTTGCCTTTCAAATTTCAGAGGCGACAATACCCCATTATGATTTCTTATGCTATGACTATTAATAAAAGTCAGGGTCAGTCGTTGTCCCGTGTGGGTTTCTTGTTAAGGAAACCGATGTTCACGCATGGACAGCTCTATGTTGCGATTTCAAGAGTGACCAACATGCATGGTTTGAGAATTCTTATATGTGACGACAGCGGCAAGACCACAAATGCAACTCAAAATGTTGTTTATAAGGAAGTTTTCAATAACGTGTAGCGTTGCATTCTGTTCCATTATTAATCAATGCCTGTAGTTCATTGCATAATTATTTTGGTGTACTTTTATATGATATTTTTGTGTTTTATATTTACTAATGCTGAATTATACGTGTACTCTTTAAATTATCACCAATACTTTTGTATTGTTGTGAATGAATCTGTTGTGTCAACAGTTTAGAAAACATTATCAAAGCAAGAAAAATGGGATATAAATTCTCCGACCGTGCATCGCACGGGTGATTTACTCGTGTATATAAATAATTTCTAACTCATTGTTAGTTATATTTATCTTTATATCCATAGTCTTTATAGCAAAGACTACGTTGGCGGAAGAGCGACTAACACATCTCTTAAACATGATTTGGAGACAACAAATTGTGAATGAGTTGAAGAAACAACAAAATGTCAGTGAGTTGGTGGAAAAATACTTTCATTCTTCTATTTAAAAATAAGGGGATGTACAAGAATCTACCAACTATCGAGATATTAAGCTTATTAGTCACATCATGAACATTTGGGAGCAGGTGATTGAGCAAAAACTTCAAAAAAGTGTGAAAATTTCAGAGAATCAGTTTGGTTTTATGCCTGGACTGTAACACTCCCAAATTCATACCCAAAATAGATGCTAATTATAGAAATTGTAGTAAGAATTTCTCGAAAGCATTTAATTCAAAAGAGTTTCAGTTGCAGCGGAATAAAATAGTCACTGGGTGTTACCACCACATTCGACTATCTCTTAACCGAATGCACAAAACTAAAATAGTCACACTCCAAAAATAATCCATGTATTTAAAGATTTAAATATCAAACGATTGAAATGCCAACATGTTCTCAAAACCAAAATAGAAGTAACTACGTGAATAATAACTAATAAAACTACGTGATCTAACGCATCTCTCATCATCAAGCATAATTCTCATCACTTGCACCAAATAAAGTGCAGAAAACAAAATAAAGAAAAAGAGACAAAAGTTAGCTTTTTAGCTAAGTAAGACTCACCCAAACCCGTAAAAAAAATATAATTTGTCAAAGTAGTTTTTAATAGCATTTCAAAATACTTCATAGTCTCAAAAAATATTAGTCAAACTTTAGTAAAATACTAGTAATTTCCAAAGCCATCATGTCTTAATCAAAAGCATTCTTAACTAATCCACACTCATAAACTTTACAATAATATTCTAATAACGAGGTTGTAAACTAATTCATTGAAAACATATTCATTCTCAGATATATCTCAAAATCAAGTAGTTTCTCAAGTCTCAATTAATTTTCAGGTGATGGGCAGAACTCAAGATTCCTCAAGCCTAGCGAGCATGTGGATCACCGCAGCCCCCACGACTCACCCACAATTGTAGATCTCATCGGTCACAATAATTGAAATCTAGACATCTACCTTAAGTGTGCACACCCTCTAAAAAGGATTTTAAGTACTCCGAGTAGTAAGAAGTCTAAGCAGTCAGGATATGTTTCTACTAAGTACTAACTACTCACAAATGGGATTTAATCCTTACAAAGCAAGTTAGGAACTACTACCGTCACAAAAGAAAAGGATGATTACATCCTAGTGTTCGAGATATCTACTGAATCACTCACAGGTCTCAAACAATTCACACAAAGGTAGTAGCAGTCCTAACCGAGTAGCATCCGAGGTTTCTCTGCGGAACACTCACAAGTCTCAATTATGAAATCGTTATTCATAGTTCTTATACAAATAATTTGATATCAGCCACAAATACCCTCTCAAAATATCTCAGTCATATTCATATTTCAAAAATATATGAATAACATATCCACTTCAAAGTCATAGTTCACAATTTAGGGTTTACCCCAAAACTACTTCCAAAATAGTAATTAATCTCATGCTCAAAATAATCCAATAATGATA